CATTGATGAACCTAAAATAACGTATTAAATAGTGCAGATTAAAAAACGTTCATAGAAAAAAGAAGAAATACAACTAAGTATCAAGTAATGTTTGATTGTAATAAATGGACAAACAAAATATTCCGTAATATTCGTTCACATGTCTATACTGAATGGAATGATGTACAGTATTAAACATCTACACGTGTTCATGTTTAAGAGAATGTTCAATGTTTTGATCGTCCAAATTTCAAGTGAATGAATAGCGCCAAATATGGAAACAAAATGATAAAAAAAAAAAAATGCCTTCCACACCATAATAGTAAACTAAATAAAAACTATATCACCAGTGAAGAATAGTTTGCGATTGTTAATGTTCCGTCGTCGTCTTTTCTGGTAGTTTTGAGAGTTTTGGTAAAATCTTATTTTATTCTTTAAAGTTATATCAAGAAACTATCTGATCACGGCCTTTCCCTGGAATTACTTCTCCAGGTGAAAGGAGCAAGATCGGATTGAAACGATCGAGCTAGTCTACTCAGATAGTCATTTGAGGGGAATTTATTGTAAACGACCAATATTTTTCACCAATCCAAGTAGATAAAAAAAAAAAAAAACGCTCTTTAAAACCCTTTCATTGTTTTTGTTCCAACATCGCAAATTATTGAAGAGGAGGATTTTTATTTTATTTATTTAAGAGGAAGAAAAAAATGTTTATCGAACATAACAATAGTATGACAATAATCCCCAAACACAAAATAACTGAATAAGAAATTAAAGGTGGGCGCAAATATTTAAACATGATGGCCTTCCTTGAGAGATAAATTTTTGTAGTACTTTAAAAGCCTTTCAAAAGTGGCATGAAAGTTCGAAATATACAAATATATTTGTTATCCTTAAGAAGCTATTCATTGCAATCACACAAACTTGTCAAAATACTGAATTTGATAAAATCTTCCAGTTGGTTTTCCATAATAACAAAAAAAAGCAAAACCTATAATTTTACTGTTACTTTTCGCACTACTTTTTATGATGTAATCCTTCCTTGTCCATCAATTAGAAATAATCATCTCGCTATACGGTGGGAAGTCAGGTACCATCGAAATGGTGAAACTGATAAAACAACGAATTTTCTTGCGTCCAACCCGTGCGTCTAAGAAATGCGCGTTCATTTTGAAATGTTTATTCCGCGTCGGATCATCTAAGTGTATAAGTTTGGGCTGATTGCAAAGTTTGCTTACTTACATTTATTTGCCAATATTCGTTTTTGCGTGCACTCATTTACTTGCTGCAGTTTGACTATCGGTTGGCCATTTTGCAACATGAACAATAAAAGATGTATTTGGGATTTTAACTTATAGCCGTAGGTGTACATAAATATAAAAATTGGTATTTCGTTTATATGCATATAGAAGTTTGTGCGTATGTACACTCGTATATAGGCATTTGTTTGGGTGCATGTAGGCAAAGATTTTTATTTTATTTGCCAAAACATACATATATATATATATATATATATATATATATATGTGTGTGTGTGTATGTGCTTCAATGCTAAGGTCGTTTGTATACAGGGGTCATTTGATATAATCTTACTTCCATTCATAAAGGAAAAGTTCAAAAATACATATGATTTGCGGAAGAAAATTTGAGATAAGAATTGTGAAAAAATGATCATGATGTTATGAAATCATGATACAAATTAATAGCCACAAATATTGTGTCCATATTTTCTCTCCCTCTTTCTTAATCACATATACGCAATCTCAATTTAATTGTTGCAAACGATGACAACCGCTCAAGTTGTCATTTCAGATTTAAATATATTGTCTATAGTAAAAATAAATTAGCTTGCATGAGTTTTGTTTTACCTATGAAATAAGCGCATGAATTGTTATCTATCAACAAGATGCCAGATATTCAACTAACTTTGTCTCAAGCAAAAAGTTTCTTTATTTTCCTGTTACTTCTATTACCATCAGATATAAAATAAATAAGTCATTTTCAGTAGAAATAAATTAGTGAAAATAGTTTGAATGTTTATATATCAGAGGTTGTATAATAATATGGACGCTGTTAAGTTATAAAATACCCGCTACTCGAGTATCTCAGGCGCACGCTCTCCTTAGCAAAAACATTAAAACATTTTTTAGCATATTTCGTTCTTTCCATTAGTCTGTACAAATTTACACACACGCACGCGCGCGCGCACACACACAGTGTATGTTCGCCTATCATCCGGTTCACACTCCTCCCCGGTCTTTTGAACAGGAGTAGAGGTTTATCCCATGTTCCCTGTTTAGGACTGGTTTTCCAGTTCCTTCTAAAGTTTTTTTCATTCTCTTTAACTACCAGTAGCCCCTTGCGTCTTAGTGGCACTATCGTCTTGCAAGGTATGAATTGATTTATATATATATATATATATGCACTAAGATGAATCTCTTTAAATCATAATGTGGCAATCCCATTCTGGTGACTTTTTTCTGCATTGTACAATCAGAAAAAGAACATTATTATGTCAGAATTTCATACCAAAATATAAGGAATGAACACGCGCATTTTATTTATTCAGTTCTAACGTAGATAGCCGATTATTATATTCTAAAGAATAATATTTGAATAATAGACACGGTTATTTTCTGAATAATAAAAATAAAACCAGTTTGTACAATGTTTAAAATATTTTTAAACAACGAGTAAAAAAAAGTTCTTTTTCAACATACATGAAAACAAACTTAATGTTACTATTTAATTTATTTTAATATTCAGTTACTTCTGGCTATTTGTAAATGTTCGTTCTGTTTAGTATAAATAATTAAAAAGAAAAAAAAAACAACTATTTCCTCCTCTTCTTGCATGCATACTTTCTAATGGCAGCCCTTAAATATCGGTCAGGGCCGATTTTCTTTGATTTGTTGATCAGCAGACTGATAAAGTTCGCAACTTGGGGCTATTGATTCCGAATCTTTGCCAACAAGTTCCAGTCTATTTCTTCTCCATTTTTCTGCCTTTCTTTGTTCCAAGTTGCAATTACGATCCTCTCACTGGAGTCTCGCGCATCAATTACAACAATGAAACTTTAAAAACATAAACTTTCTAAACATTTTATTTACGAGCACTCTTATTGTGCGAAAATAAATTCATCACCAAGTTATTGTTTTCACACTCTTCAAGTCATCTCGCTTCATAAAGTACATCTCTCGTTTTGTTTGTTGTGTGTTGGGGGGGTGCTATTTGTTTATTATTTGTGTTTTGTGGTCTCTTTATTGTCCTTCAAATTGGCCAAAATGAATTTCGATTTGTACATACATACTAACTGCTTTTGCAGTTTATAGAACCGGTTATGAAGATGCAGAGATCCCTAAATGATACATAGAGTTAAAACAAAAATGTGTTTATGTCTGAGACAAGAGAGGAATGCAGAAAGATGGCGTGAAAAGAAAATTAAAGATGAAAGCTATTAAACAATACGGTAAATGAAGATTATAGAAAGAAAATCAGGTAATTAAAAACATGATTTAGAGTGGACGAAGCGGATAAAAGATGAAAACAAAAAGTGTAAGGTCATGAAGAGAACGAGGGAGGGTTGTGTATGTATGTATGTGTGTGTGTGCGCGTGTGCGCAGTTGGTGAAAGCAGCTTCAGTTCAGGTACTGTTTCCTATCTCCGTTGAGACAACACGCAATTACAAACGTTCACCCACGTCTCCACATTGCATATTGCATACCTTTGGCTACGGTAGCCGTTGTCGCTGTCTTCTCTTCTTCGAGGTATGTACATCTTCCTACCCAGCTACCAACTTAGGCAGATGCGTACTTTTCTTCGGTTCTTTTCTCATATTTTTTTTTCTTTACTGGCATTAACTATTTCCCTTTTACTTATTAGATTTTTTTAAAAACATCTTTCTTCTTTTCCGTTCTTTACTCTTTTTAAAACTTCTTAACCCATGTTCTGTGTGGTATGCAGTCGTTCTACAAACTCACGCCATCGTTGTTCATTTCTCCTGTTCATGCTTGGTGGTCATTAAAAAAAAAAAAAAAAAAGGAAAATAAAAATAACAATTCTCTTCCTTTTCACTTTCGACATCTCCCATTTCTTTTCAAATTACTTTTTATCTACTTTGCAAACTTTTCATCTTTTACCGCATCTTGGCTTTTTCCATTCGCAAAAAAAAAAAAAGAAAAGTAAAGAAAAAAACTTTTTCACATTGTTCGAACTTATTTTTTTCGACTGGTCCTTTTTGTTTGCAATTTTAAAAAAATGCAAAGTCAAGCGTTTCACCAATTCCCCATTGTTTGCTGTTTCCTCATTTCTTTAAGAAAATAATTAACACTTTCCGACAAAACATCATTTATTTGTTGTTATTTTATCAAGATAATTCCACTACATGTACAGTCCCAGTGTACGTGACGTTGTATATATATATATATATATATATATATAAAGAACTGGTTTCAACTTTTCATCTTCATTTTCGCCACAAATAACTAAGACAATGAGAAAAGTTTAGTATGTGTGTCTGTATAAGAGTATTAAAGTGTATCAAATTCAAAAGGCTGGTTGTCCTATAATCACTGGTTCGAATCTCAGCCGAAACTTTATTTTAGTTGCCAAAAAGAATAAGTAGTGGCTGGGTTTCACGCGATTATTCAGGTATATTTATGATAAATAATGTTTATTGTTTGTTCATTTAACATACGCAAAATATAAAAAATAGGAAGTAATTTGCGAAATAATTATACATTTGTACTTGGTATGCATTTTTACATTTGATTTAAGTATACATTAACATAAAAGCTGAACAAACTGTCACCAAATAATTGCTGCGTAAGTGTTTAATAACTCGAGGCTCCTTTCTTGCAACAAAGAAATTTAACACGCTAAGTTCAAAGAGCAACACTTGTGCCTGTGTTCGGTCCCCTCTCCCAACCAACAATTATGGCTTGTGTCAAACTGTTTTCCCTCATTCATTGTAGATTTACTAATTGGTCTATTGTCTTTCTATTTTCTTTTACCCATTCGAGGTCTGTGCATCTAACAAGTTCTCGGCAAAGGAAGTCACGGTTCTGGAGTTCTGGTCGCTTTCCGATGATAACCTGTTGGACACATACCTATATGTTGGAGAGTTCTCTCTACGTGTAGCAACGATCTGGTAAGTAAAGATATCGTTTTCTTCTTTCCGCCTACATCATTTTAGTTCAAGTTTCCTTTCAATAACTGTATAATTTGTTTGCACCTTTCATGTTTCTTCAAAGTGACGGTCAGTGTATTAACGTTATTACGGAGCACATAATAGTGCGTACAGATATGTGATTTCGTTATGCCAAACAACAATGTATAGACTTGATTCTGATATAGTTTTATTTGTACACTTCTGTTTAACTTCAAAACCAACAATAAAAAAAAAGTTTGTACGTATCGATTGCATACTCTTCCGTCTCTCCTCTCCAAATATCTTTTGAAAAAATGTACAAAATCATTCCTTGGATATTTTTTCCACGAAAATTTCAATGATTATTTTATATCCAATGATTAGATCTAAAATTATTGTAACTGATGCAAAACTTTATTTTTCTGGGCCTGGATGCTGCATATATTCTTGTGAGAATGCATTAAGTTTGCGTGCGCGCTTAGTGAGGTGTTTTGCAAAATTTAATGAGGAACAGGCCCTACTTACAGTAATTAACAACCATCAGATATTATGATTGCTAATTAAATTGGACTTTTATATCATTATGAAACATGAAAAGTAACTATAAATAAATTACGAATACCTCATCATGTCTTTTTTCGTTATCTTCTTGCATAATTTTAATCGAGGAGACCGAAAACAATTATTCATTGAAGTCTTTAAAAAAACAACACTGCATTAATTAAAAAAAAACAAAAAAAAACAAAACATTTTAATATTTTTAATTAATTTTTAATTAATATACGAAACAAGAAAAATGTTTCTTAAGTATTGCAGTCTTTATGTGTGTTGTTCGATGTACAAGTTTTTAATTAAAGACGAATCTCTGTAACTATCAGTTCATTTCGGTATTTGTAAAATCTGTAACTAGTATGAGTTCTGTTATATCAAAGGTCAGTCGGGTTGCATTGCTGGGAGTTGTGGGGAGTGGCAGGCGCAATTAGGGGGTAAATGAAATCAGAAAATCGAATGCGTGAATGCCTCAGGTTATTTTCCTTTGAAATTTCTTTAAAAATACCAAGAACAATATAAAAAAAATTGAAAAGAAACACAATATGCAGATTGTCATGGATTAAATTTGTAACTCTCCACTCATTTCAACAACAAAATATCATCTCAGACACACTTGATCCATTTTTGCGTACTTTGGAAATAAATATGAAGAAATTCAAAACTTGTTCAAAAATCAAGTCTTGTAATGATCCCTCGCAATACTTTCCAAGTTCTTTCTGGAAAGAGAACGTTTACCTTTTACTTTAATTTTATTCCATTTTCAAACTTTCCATCTGTTTCTGAATTGAATCTAAGATCAATATTTCTAAGATCGACAGTTTCAAAACCTATTTTATCTTCCGACATGATTTTTGCATCTTCGCCGCCTTTTTACGCGTTGGTCTTTTGCGTCTATTTCTTTTAAAACATTATTTCCCCTTTCCTTATTCCTTCCATTTGTTTTACTATATTTTCCTAAATGAGCAACAAAGAAATATTTTCCTTGAGAAAGTAAATAAAATTTGTAAAAGACGGAACATTTTATACACGACTCGGTCTATAGGTTTCTTTTCTTTTTAACATTTAGTTGAAAAACAAAACAATGTTTTTTTTTAAGTGCAAGGCAAGTAAAAATACATTTTAGAAAAAAAAAAACAAGTGATTTACTAACAAGATAAATGTAAACTTGTATATCAGGTCAGATGAATGTGAATACTGGCCAGACTCACCCGTCTGCCGTCAAACTGACCGATATGTTTCATGTGAAACATTTCATCTTCATCTTCATCTTTTGGGAATTGCTTTTCTTTTCAACTGAGATTGATTAAGGAAATTAAAGACTCCAATCGAACTAGCTATATTTTCTACTTTACTCGTAAATTTGATAAACAAAAGCTGGATTAACTTTGATGTTCGCAGTAAAACTAACAACACGTTTTGTGACTAATCTCATAACTAGTATTGGTATTTCTAAAAACGTAAAACTCTCTATGCATATACACACACAAAGGACCAAACAATTATATAACTACAAAAAAAAGTATGTATATTGCATTGGACATTTAGATTTTCTCCGACATATCAAAATATATAGATACATACAAGAGATATGTACAAGAGTCCTACACCAGTTTTACCAAGATTTTACGGTGGTACAAATCGTGTAATACTTTAATCTCAACCGAATTCTTCATGGCACCTTATAGTAAGGTAATGGTTAAATTAGTGACTTAGTCCAGTAAACCATTAGTACTGTAGAGTGAGTTTGATCCTTACTGTGTAATCTTATAATACACTTATTAAATAACGATTGTTTGGAATCTTCGGTGTGTGCGTGTGTTTTTTTTTAATTCCATTTATATGACTAATATTATTCTGACGCAAACTGATCTTCGAGCAAATGCGATATTCAGGATTTTTAAAAAGTAATTTCTTCAAAGAAAAACTTTGATAAGAGATCCATTATTTGCAATTCTCTCATCAATAGATTCCCAAAATTTAAAGGAACAGTTCCAGCCAGTGTCTAAATGATTATTGCGTCAATGAGCTAAATTGTTTTAGTGATTACGATATACAGATACATAAAAAAAAAGCCGATAAATATAAGAAAGCGGGTGTTAGGCTTTTCATAAAATGATTAGTTGTGATCCTTAGAAAGCGTTACTTTTTTTTTTTATCTTGAAGGTCACTTCTTCGCGTGGACTTAACTGAAAGAGAAATAAAGGTTTAAAAGAGAAATACGCGTTTTTATTTGATAAAACTTAGCATTTGTACAACTGAGAGTTATTTTGACAAAAAAGTCAGTTTACTTTTAGATTGTTGATGACGGAAGAGAACTGCACGAAGATTATGCTACCATGAAACTTTTCTCCGCTTTTAAATCATAAAGTAATACTTTTATTGAAAAATAATGATTTAAGTTAAATCTTAAGTAAATCTATCATCCCAGTATCGTAAAAGGCGTTCTCAAGGAATGTTTATTTCTTCAAGAGAAACATCAGATCGTTCCCATAAAGGATTCATTCATAGACATAGAAAGAAAAGACCAGTTTCCATGTAATTCCTATATTACCGTAATTCCCTATATATAATACGCCTTCATCCATAATACGCACACCTAAAATTGTGCTGAAAGTGTGATAAAATGCTTCTACTCATGCATAATACGCACCCCTTGTTTGGTAATCAAACCCTATAAATTGTACTTCTCCAATTTCATTACGGCCAGCGTTTCCTACTCTTGTTTTAAAAAATGGTTTTAAACATAGACCAATATTATTCTAATTTAGTTTTATGATAATTCCTATTGTATTTTACGGCAATCTTTTAAAGAGTTTTTGTAGCTGTGTATAATACGCACCACTAATTTTATTTATAATTTTTTAGAAAAAATGCGTATTGTATTATCGGGAATTACGGTAATTAAGATATTTGTGAATTAAATTTATCTTCCGTAATTTTCTTATCAACTTTTAAAATGCAACCCACCTTTGATTTTGCAAATATGTAGTTGTTACTGAAACTATGCTCAGTCCGAGTTTTTTTAAAAAATTTTTTTATGAGTGACCACACGCTGTTTTTTACTTTATCTTTTAATTATGAAGCAGCTTTTTATCTAAATATCGTCATGGTTTAATTGCTTCTTAAATCACGACACTTAAACATTTCTTCGCATGTAGCAAATTGCATAGAGTTGATATCATTAAGCAAATAGTTTTAAAATCATTTGCTAAAATAGAGCGAAATAAATTTCATATTACAATTATGTTTCATTGTAGTGCGGAAGAGGAAGAACAAATATTGGTTAGAATAAATTTCTTTTCAATAAAAAGAAATATTTATTATACTTAGATTGAAAAAAAAAAAATAAGCATAACGTAAGTTTATGAAAGAGATTTAAATTTTTATGTTGAATTTATTGCCATAAATTGTTTTAACGTTTCTTACGTATAAAAGAGAATGTGGATTAAAAGTTGATTCTGTAATACAAAGAAAATACTCTGATATTGTGATTTAAACTGATATTTATTCTTAGTTGATATTTTAGAGGACCACGTTAGCTCCCCGAAGAACATATCGCAAAAAAAAACTAAAAATCTCTGGTGGTGAATAAACATACCGATAAGTTTGTATTAGTAACTGATTAAGGATCACAGCGGTGGTCGCACTAATAACGTTTGTCCAACATGCAGCAGCGACAAATACAAAAAAGTTTTCTTTACTTTGACTTCGTGAAAGCGGGAACATCGTGTTGACCAATAAACAAATGCAACAGCAGGATTTGATAGAGACAATTTATTCGGAAAAGACTTGAAAAACAAATGAAAAAGAGTTAAAACTATATCCTTATCGCCTCTTTTATTATTATTTCTTTATAATTGGTATCTTTGAGTACATATTCTGACGCGGGCAAAATTAATAAAAAAATGCTTCCTTTTTTAAAAGAAAAAAAGTAGATTTTTGTTTTCTGCGTAACTGGAGTTAATGAAGCAAAATTCAAAACAGACTTTCGATTCATTTTTATTCTTGAGATTCTATTTTATTAATAAATTTAGTCGAAGACTAACATATATATTAAAAATTTGAATACCTCTTCGAAACTAAAGCCGGAATCGGACAAACTCAGTTGTCCCCGATCATAAAACTTTATTAGATATAATATGAAATAAGGTTTATATGTAGCCTTAAATTTTAATATGTTCTCGCAGTCAATTAATAACAGCCGATTTTCATATTTTTTCGAAACTTAAACGTTCTCCTGGAAAACTAGTAACATTTCATCGCAAACGTTCCATGCGTTGGGGAACGGTGGAAAACAAATTTGCTTTAAAAAATAATCCTATCAACATTGATAGCTTAATTCACATGAGTTGATTAGCATTATTTTAGAACTGTCTTTGACAAAATCATATTCATTCTCTATCCGATAAATAGTTTTAATACTTTTTCATTGGCAGCCGACGGAAAGT